TCCACCTCCATCTTCATCTCCACCTCCATCTTCATCTCCACCTCCATCTTCATCTCCACCGCCACTTCCATCTTCATCTCCACCTCCAACTTCATCTCCCTCTCTACCTCTCATCTTCACCTCCACCTCAACCTCTCATATCCATCTCCATCTCCACCTCCATCTCCACGTCTTCCTCCATCTCCATCTTCTGTCCCCAAATCCCAATTTCTCAAAGAAGCACCTTCTTTCTTTCAGGATCTCCTCTTCCTCAGAATCAGCACATGGTGTTTCCCATAAGGGCCAGGTGACTCTCTCACCTCACAGATTTCCCTTTAACATCTCTGCTCTATTCTGGGGTCATTCTGCCCCTGCCCATGCCCCTACTTTCCTTTTCCGGGGTAATGTGTTTCCTGCCCTCACCTCTACCCTGGATCCCCAAGTTCCATCATATGACTTCAACCATTATCAACATTCTGCTATTCTTGGTTTAACTATACTTTCACCTGCTCCCCAGCCTGACCCCCTTTATTATTATTATTACGATTTTTACAGTTCTTTTTTTGCAGGGTATAATTTACACACATCACAATGCACAAATCTTAGTGTACTATATTGAAAAATGGGTCCCCCATGTAACCCACACCGATATCAAGAGATAGAACATTTCCACTGACCCCAGAAGGTCCCAGTTAGTTCCTCCCCACCCCTACAACCACTGTTTTGAGATGTGTCACCTTAGCTTAGTTCCTAGAAGGTTCTAGAATGTCATATAAATGGAAACATACACTATATGTACTCATTTATATCTGACTTCCTTCACCCATCATGTCCATGAGACTCATCCATGCTGTGTGTGTATCAGAAGTCTGTTCCTTTTTATTGTTTAGTAGTATTCCATTGTGTGAATATACAAGATGTGTTCACCTTTTCTCCTGTTCATGGACATTGGGCTGTTTTGTGGTCTGGGCTATTATGAACAAAGCTGCTATGAATATTCTTAAACAAGTCTTTGGTGGACATAGGTTTTCATTTATCTTGGACAAAGAAATATCTAGGAGTGGAATTGCTGGTTCAAAGGGAAGGCATATGTTTCACTTTGTAAGAAAAGCGGCTGTACCATATTACGTTCCTACCAGCAGTACACAAGGGCTCCAGTTGTTCCCCACTCTCACCAACATTTGTATTGTGAGATGTTTAAATTTTAGCCATTCTAGTGAGTGTGTGGCTGTATCTCCTTGTGGTTTTAGTTTGTATTTCCTGTCGAATGTCAATCTCAAGCCCTTTTGCTTGGGTTTCTTCTTCATCTATTTGTCTTCCTTTGTAAAGGGTCCGTCCAAATCGTTTGCCCATTTTTAAAATTGGGCTGTTTGTGTTACTAATCACATGTATTTCAGATGCAAATCTTTTGACAAATATGTATTTTGCTAAAATTTTCTCCCAGTCCATAGCTTGCCTATTCATTTTCTTCCCAGTAGCTTTTAATGAGGCAGGAGTTTTAAATTATGATGAAATCTAATTTATTGATTTTCTTTTTCTTCCTCGGTTATTGCCTTCTCTGTCCTAAGAAATTTTGCCAACCTCCAGGTCACAAAGATATTCTCCTATATTTTGTCCTAAAACTTTACGGTTTTAGCTTTTATGTTCAGGTTATGTCCATGATCCATCTCGAATTCATTTTTTGTTGATGGTATGAGGTGAAGACAAGTTTCATTTTTTTCCATATAAATATTCAGTTATTCCAGCACCATCTGTTGAAATGACTTTCTTTTCCCCATGCAACTGTTTTGGTGTATTCGTCAAAAAGCAGTTGTCCTCAGTTACTGTTTGGCCTGTGGGGCTGGTTACTAGGGAAGGCGTTCTGACTTCCTGAAAGTCTTACTTACAGATTGTAGTCTGGCTCCCTGTGCCAGTTATTGTAGATAATGGGGTGGCTTCCTGGGCTGGTTGCTGCAGGTTGTGGGTCAGAGTTCTGTTCTTATACGTGTCTTGTCACCGTCCATCTGTATATTCAGTATCTCATTTATTACAAACATTTGCAAACATACGTAAAAGTAGAGATCATAATATAATGAACTTCCATGTATCCGTCACCCGGATTTTATAACCTTTAACATTTTGTCATATTTGAGTTGGAGTTTGATGCTTCCATGTGAATCACGGCATCATGACAATTCGTCTGTGTACGTGGTTTCAAGATGTATCTCCATATCTATAAAGATGCTTTCTTCTGTGTCCGCAATATCGTCATCATAATACAAATTTTAAATCCTTAGCGTCGTCTAATATCCAATCCAGATTCAAACTTCCCTAAAATTATCTCGAAATGTACAATTGGGTTCTTCTAGTCAGAATCCAAATAATGAACATATTGCATTTAGCTATATTTTAAAATTTCCTTCAGCAGTCATATCACGGTATACAGCTCAAATGGTACACACCCATGTAATTGGCTGTAGCCAGATCGAGAGTCAGAGCACGATGGCACCCCAAAAGTCTCCATCACGTCCCCCTTCCAGCCACCATCCCCACTGAAGGTAACCACTGTCCTAACCTCCAATGGCATAGATGGTCTTACATGTTTTTGAACTTTCTGTAAATGGAAGAGGTGTCTGGCCTCTCTGGCTCAGCGTCAATGTTTGGGGTCCTGCATGGACAGGCGTGCGGTTCATTCTTTACTCCTCATGCTGTGTAGCCCCAGACCAGTGCCCCCTCACCACACCAGCCTGTGGCCTGTCTGTCGCTAGTTCTGTGCTACAAATACGTCCCTACCCACAACCTCTGCTTCCTGACGCCCCAGACGCGGCCTCCAGAGCTGGGGAGAAAGACCCAATCTCCCTTCTCAAGTTGCTGCCCTGGGGGCTGAGCCGACAGGCAAATCTGCGTTTAGTCCAGGAGGCCCGAGCCTCGGGCCTTCTGCTGGCTCTTCTCAGCTCAGCCCCTCGGGCCCTCGGTCCTCGGCCACCTCTGATGTGTGGGGACATTAACCGACAGTGAGTGTGTTCCTGTTTTAGGGTTTCCATAACAAAGTACCACAAACGTAGCCACTGAAAACAATGGAAGTTTGTTCGGTCACAAGGGAAAAAAATCAAGGTGTCCTCTGAGTTGCTCCTTCCAGAGGCTCTGAGGAGAGTCCGTCCCATCCTCTCTCCCGCCGTGCGCCCTTGTCCTGTAGGGGCATCACTTCACCATCGGCCTCCATCTTCACATGGCCTCCCCTCTGTGTGTCACATTTCCTCTCCTTTCTCTACAAGGACGCAGGTTCTTGGACTTGTCTGTTTGAGGATGAGCTCGCCTGGAGATCCTTCCCTTAATTACAGCTGCGAAGACTCTTATTCCAAAGAAGGTTACTTTCTGAGGGTCTGAGTGGACAAGTCCACCCACTGCGGGAAGTGAGGGATCCTCTGAGACAGACAAACCAAACCCGCAGGAACTGAGGACCTGGAAGTGTGCTTCTTCTCGCTGAACCAGCTCCCCAGGGGTTACGTGCTCCCCACCCCACAGGACTGCAGCATCAGGCCCAAGCCCTTTGAGCACCTGCTGAGTGCCGGTGGAGGGGGGCTGCTGGGTAGAGGAGGCGTATAAACCAGCAGAGGCCCTGAGGCAGTCTGCAAACTAGGAGCAGAGTTTCTCCACCAGATTGATCCTGCCCCCAGGAGACACCTGGCAAGGTCTAGAGACATTTTTGACTATCATGACTGGAGGGGTTTGCCACTGGCATCCAGTGGGTAGAGGCCAGGGATATTACTAAATATCCCACAATGCTCAGAACAGCCCCTGCAGCAAAAAATTATTGGCTCCCAAACGTCAGTAGTGCCACTGTTGAGAAACCCTGGTATCAGAAAAAGAAATCGGATCTTTTAGGACTTTAATAAAATGTTAAAAAACTCGTACTGCCCCTGAGATGGTGATTTTCAGGAAACCTGGGTTCTCAGAATTTGAGTTTGGTTCACCAACCTATGGACCTATACAAAATAGTTTTAGAAGTCCCTCAGCCTAACTTCTTTATTGTACAGATGAGAAAACAGGGACCGAGAAAGAAAATAACTATTGCAATAATAATAGCAACCAGGGTCATGTCTTAAACTCCTGTAACATATCACACAATGAAGTGGGGTCTTGTGAGACCTGACAGTCACCGCTGCCCTATAAGGAAGACATGCCGTTATCCTTATTCTATATATGTGACCAGTGAGTCTCCGGTGGGTTCAGACAGCGGTCCCTCTTCTGTCAGAGACCTGGATCTTTCTGTCACACCAGACCCTGCAAGTAAGCTCAGTGACGTGCTGCAACCGTGAAGGAACCCAGCATGGCGTTCACCCCACAGCCAACCCCGCCTGCCCCTTGTGTTTAGAGTTGCTGCCACCTCCTGCCTGGTAGGGGCGGGGGTGGGGGGAGAAGGCACGGAGCTCAGCCTTGTTCAAGGGAGGAGAAGTGCTCTCCTCCGGTCACTGCCCGGAAGATGAACCCCCTGACCATTCACTGTCCCAAGGACCCGCCCTCTTCCTAAGTAAGGCCACTAAATGAAACGTTCCCATTCTTTGGGATTTTGTGAGGTATTACAATTTACATAGATAGATAGATAGATGATAGATAGATAGATAAATAGGTGATAGATAGATGGATAGATGATAGATAAGTGACAGATAAAGTAGATAGACATCTACACAGGATGACTGACTTCTGATCTTGGCCAGTACAGATACCAGCAAAACCAATGGTCATCTTCCCTCACAGCCGTTTCATGAAATGAATATTCCAATGCCAAAATAAAAGAAGGAAGGACATAATCTCAGAGTAAAAATAGTTCTTTAAATAAATAAATGTACCATTACGAAAAACTTAACATCAGTGTTATCTCTCCATTGTAGAGTGATTCCCTATACAACTACTTGTCTCTGTCAGTCCTTACTCAGTGAGAGGTTACTCTACTGCAGGATGCAGCCCTAAAGTGAAAAACTCAGGCCTTGTCATAGTGGAAGGACCCTCAGGGATCATTCTGACCAGCTCGGTCTAGTACAATGAGCTTTGAGTCCAAAAACCTTGGCCTGGATCCCAACACAGCCACCTATGAAGTTGGGGGGAGGCTTGGGCCACGATCCTAAATCTCACTGGGCCTCAGCCTCTGCCCTCCTAAGAGGGGAATAAACGAGCGACCTCCTGGCAGGGCCAAAGAGCATGCGCTAGGTGCGGCCAGCAAGGCGCAGTTGGCCGCACCTCTCACTCAGCATCCAGGAAGCCGTCCTCCCTGCATCTGCCGTGGCTGCCTCGCACCCCAGTGGCAGCTCTCCCGGGAGCTGGTCCTTCCCCACCCAGCCCGGTGATCCTCGGGCACAACTGAGACTCGTGCCTTCCCATTAATAGTCCTCCAACACAACACCCCGAACACCTGAAGGCAGCAGGCGCTTCTGCCCTGGGATTTGCTGCCAAGTGGGGAAAGGGCCACCTGGAGAGACCATCCTACCAAAGACGTCAAAACCCCACAGGAGAAACCAGGTTGCAGTAACCAACGCCAGCTCCCCGGCTAGGATTTCACCACACGCCTCGAAAGCCCTGCTCTCCCCACCGAGCCCGCAGGAGAAAAGGAGAGATCACTTTAAAAGTGTTGACGTCACTTACGCAAATACTCCTCGGGACCCACAGGGCAGCAGCGGGACACCTGTGAGCCCGTACTTATAAAAGCCCGTCGTCGTATTTTCCAAAGTCTTCGGAAGCAGAGATCCCAATATCCTCTCTCTAGAGGAGCACACACGAATGTAAATAGCCACATCCTGAAGGCGTGGCGATTCTACAATTCCTATTCCCCCTGGGACGCAGGGAAGGGGTCTTGTTCGGCAAAGTGGGAGCACTGGCCCAGTGGTCCAGGCCCGAGCTGCTGTGAGGGGTGAGTTGAGGAAGTTACTTGGAACTGAGCATTGCAGGAAGTGCGGAAGGAGAGTGTGCTCAGTACAGGACCCTTCCACATTTAGAGGCGTCTTGATAGAGGGGAAGCAGCAGGTTCGAGTGCTGGGCTTGGGAGCCACCAGCTTCACACACCGTCTCCTTTATCCTGATACCCTGGTTTCCGAATGCAACCCCTCCCACCTCTCACCCCGTCTGGAGCCCACTGTGACTGGGATTGAGTAGCCCACCTTCCCAGGAAACTCGCTGCTGTGGAAAGAAATCCCTCCCATCCCGCTCCCAAAGAGGGATAGTAGTAAATGCTGTTTGAGTGGGGCCTGAGCTGGCCAGACCGCAAAGAAGAGGAAGAACCTGGGGCCCCGGGAGGAGGGACTGGAGGGGAAGCCAAGGACCAAGGCCGTAACTCACTCAAGACCACACAGCAAGAAAGCGGCTGGGTCTGAAAATAAGATGCCGCTTCATAAACTGTAGCTTTTGCCTGTTTTCTTAAAGGCCACCACTGTTCCCTGCTCTAAACGATAAGAGCGGTTGATCAGAGTGATACAATATTTCTCTCTCACAAGGAAAAAGCATACCACCTTGAGTGGCTTCTTATTTATGTGGGTCTCATCTGCTTTTCTTTCAGCTTCAGCACAAAATCCCCGCACTGCCCTCCACCAAGAGCCAGGCTGGGGACAGATGCTGAGAGCAGGAAGGCTGTGCGAGGGTTCCTCTGGCCTCGTCCTTGCTTCTAACCGGTGCTGGTACCAGGTGCCCGGTCCTGGGAGCCGTGACCATGGAGGCTCTCCCCAAGGGCCTGGAGGTCAACGAGAAGTCTCCAGAATCCAAGGACCGGCTGCCCAGCCAGGCCGCCAGCTCCCTGTGTATCAGCTCCAGAAGTGAGTCTGTCTGGACCGCCTCCCCCCGGAGTAACTGGGAAATCTACCGCAAGCCCATCGCCATCATGTCCGTGGGCGGGGCAATCCTCCTATTCGGTGTGGTCATCACCTGCTTGGCCTACACCCTGAACCTGGGTGACAAGAGCCTCAAGGTCCTTAAGATGATAGGGCCCGCCTTCCTGTCTCTGGGACTCATGATGCTGGTATGCGGGCTGGTGTGGGTGCCCATCATCAAAAAGAAACAGAAGCAGAGACAGAAGTCAGTTTTCTTCCAGAGCCTCAAGTCCTTCTTCCTGAATCGCTGATGATGGTCTCGCCCTCTGTCCTCCCCACCACCCTGCCACCTCGACCAGGAGAAGATGTGATGACCAACATCCAACATCCCCAGCCCCTTGAGAGGTGGAGTCTTCCGTAAAACTGATGCAGGCAAACCCTCTCCTGGGCCCCGTGGAAAAGAGCGAGCTCGGGGCTGCGCCCTCCGTGCAGCTGGGAGGTACCGCGGGATGACCTCATTTAGCCTCTCTGTTATCACTGATGTTCCCTCAGATCCTGGCCGCGGCCATCGCCTTTCATGGCTCTCATCCCAGCCTGTGCATCCAGGTGTCACTCATCTAACGCTCTCTGCCAAGTGCTGTGCATGTTGGGAAATTCCTTGAGGTGGGCCATGCCCCAAGAAGAACCTCCTGTTTACATATCTGAGTGCCTGAACTGGATTCTGCATTTGCTTCCTTCTAGAACCCAAACTGACCAACGGAGGTCCTTCGCAGAGGGAAGGGAAGTTCTGACCATTGGGTCTGCCCACCCCAGATCTCTCTGTGGGCAAGATGCTGGCTTGCATTTCAAGAGATCGGACAAGTCACAAGTATCAAACATTCCAAAGACTGAGCAGTGAAAGGTGGCCGGGGAAGGACTTTCCAGGGAGGCACATTTCCCCTAGAAATGGCCCTGGGAGTCAGCCAGTGAAGAAATTTAACCCTTAGTTGTATAGTTGTATAGAATTTATACCAGAGGCAGTGGGGTGCGCTAGCAGGTGTCACAGACTCCCCTGACCTTCTAACTCCTTCTCCGTGACTACTCTTCCCTCTGAACTTGACACTTAGCCAAGGACAAGTGTGTGTTGCCCTAACTCCCTCTTTCCCCCACCCCATGACTCTAGAACAGCCAGGTGGAGAGGGCTGTAAGATTTTTCTCTCCTTCTCCCCCGTCAAGAATCAAAACCAAGAAGCTTGAATTCCACATCTGAGTGTCTGTAGGTTTCCAACGATGGAATTTTCTTTAGAAAATCCCAACTTCTGCTCTCCCTGCCCCCACTCACCAACATGCGTTTAAACCTTCAGTGAGGGCCCTGCTCTGGGCCAGGCCCCGGGGCGAGAGCAAGACAGATGGTCCCTGGGCTCATCTTCTTTATAAAGTGAGAGACAGCCAGAGCACCAGGCGGCCAGAACACCCCGGGATGAGTACTTTCTGGGGAAACGAGGATGGGGGCAGGAACGCGGAGGGGACATCTGCCCCAGCCCTGGGAGAGGACAGAGGGCGTGCTGGAGGCTGTGCCATCCACACAGAACCAAAGGGAAGAGGAGAGCTGGCGACGAGGGGAAAGGAAGGCACTCTAGGCGGGAATGGTGTGTGCAGAGCTGGGGTGGGAGGGGAGCGGGATACAGTTAGGAAACAGCATAGCAAGCTCCCTAACCTCCCGAATGGTCACCTGAGCCCCTGTCTCGGCCTGCCTCCCCCTGCTTCCCCAAGTGCCTTAGTGCGGCTTCTCGGGGCTCATCGAGGGGCCTCCTGGGTCTGTGGCAAAGACTACAGACCTCCTGGGTCTGTGGGAGATTCCAGGGGTCCACCACGCAGAGAGCACCCGTATGGTTAAGTGCTCCCCAAATCTGGGGTTTCCTGCGGCATCCGGAGGCCCTTAGGTGACAGACCAGGAGGGTACCTGCAAGAAAGCCACGCTGCCCTAGGTCTGAGGCCCAGCGGAGAGCATCTGATGATGAGGGGAAGGTTTCCTCGGCCTTCTGCCCGTGAGCCCATCCCATCACTATGTCACCATGACAACCTTTCTCTCTTTCCCTCCTTCTCCCCCTCCCCCCAACCCCGCCGTCTCTCTTTCTCTCTCTCTCTCCATCAGGCCTCCAGGTATCTCCATCCTTCATGGTGGTTCCATATGCAAAGTCAGAACCCCACCTTGTTCCCTCTGCATCATGGGAAACTCCATGGAGGCAGGTACCCGTGACATGGGGACACCCCCCTGCCCCACCCACCTAAGGAGCCAGAGTTTGGGGAGCTTCACCCAGAATGACCGTGTCTCTCATTCAGACAGCGTGGCCAGGTCCTCTAGCCCACCTGTCTCCTGCACACAGGCAGTCAGGACCAATCATGGGGGACGTTGCAAGTACTGTGTCACTAATTGTGGTCCCAGTGCCTCAAGTGACCGGGCTTACAGAAGGTTTCCATTTCTCCAACGTGAACGCAGATTCCATATCAGCCCTAAAATGTCACTCTCACATTCCTTGATGCTTTCTTACATGGGAGCGAAGGGGGAGGACGCCCAGCTGGCTCACTGGGAATCCACACTTCCAGGGTGTCATTTTCTCTCCCCACAAGCTTATCGAGTAGGCGCAGCTGAGGGAGGAGGGCCCAGGCTGATGCTGTACCACGCGTGTCCTGGCGGAGGGCAGCTTGGGGACGACACGACTCTAGAAAGTGTCCCAGGCCTGGACTCACCTTGGAGTCTCCAGCAATCTGGCCCACATTCCCTATTCCTCAACCTAGTGCTCAGCAAGAAAAATGAGGACAAATCCCCAAAGCATCACTCACCCCCACTGGGATCCCTTATATGAATGCGGACCAAGGAACATGCCAGGGTCACACTGAGGGGCTTTTGCCAAAGACCATCGCCACACAGAAGCCCTAGGAATGGCTGTGCCCAGATCAGATGCCACGTTTCTGGAAAACAGCATCGCCACCACGACTCCTCCCATGCCGTGGATGGGAGGTCAGGACCAGCATCGTGCGTTCGGCTACTGGATTGTATTATCCCACCCATGGCTGTTCTGTTTGGAAGGGTTCCATTTAATCTGAGTGCTAAAAGAATTGCTGGGATGTTGAACTGTATCCTGTCTGACAGTGTCTGCTGTGTTTTCATTCTGTTCCATCAGGAATTCCAGGCTCTACCACTGAGTCATTCCTCTAAAATGCCTCCCAGCCCCGGCCCCATCACCACGCGCCCTTCCTCGAAACGTGCTGTCTGGGAGAAAGGGTTTCCCAGACATGTGTGGGTTGCATGCCTGGTCCCTTGGGTGCCTCACAGGAGCCGAAGGCCCCACCCTGAGATGCTGACGGGGCACACAGAGCAGGAGCTCCTGACTCTTTCCCTCCCTACAAGCTCAGCACTGGGAGATGGAAAAAGAACCTTCCTGGATGAATCAGTGGTCCAGGGTGAGGCAGGCAGGTACCCCAGGGTCAGCCTGCCAATGTGCCCAGGAACCCAAGAGAACAAGCCCAAGAAGGGATGGCAGTCCAGCCCCCAGGACCTCCATGGCCCGCCCCTTCCTTCTAAGCCCTTCTTCCTTCCCCTGGCCCAGCGTCCTCTGCTCCTCTAGGTCTGTAATCCCGACCCTCTCCGACTTGGCTCCCGCAAGACTCCCCATGTCCTTGACTTTCTGCTTGCTCTATCCTCAGAGAAAAAGAGAGCATCGCTCTGGATCTGGACAAGCCAGCTGCATTTCAGTCCTCCTCAGATTCCTGCAGCATTGCAGAGTCACAACGCCCCGCTCCCTCCTGTCCCCCACACCCATCACTTCGTCACCATCTCCAGCCCTTAGAGATAAGAGGTCCCCGGAAAACTAAAACTCAGAGCCCCAAATGTGTCTGATACTAAATGGTGCAAGGGAATCGCCTGGGCACGTGCCCGGTGAAGCTTCTGGGCAACACCAACCTGATGCCTTAACTCACTCAAATCCTTTCCAAAAGCCTGCTGGAGGCACTGTTGTTATCATCCTCCCTGTTTTACAGATGAAATAAGTGAGACACGGGGACACGGAGCTAGGCCATCAAGCCACGATGAAAATCCAGGTGAGCTGGCTCCAGGGGCCACACACATGACCCCCACCCGATTCACTCTTCGGAGGTGCTGAGGGGCAGCAGAAGGCACCAGGGTCGCCGTGCTGGGCTCCGGGCTGCAAGGCGGGGACAGCAGGAGTGGAGCTTGGGTCAGTAGACAGGCCAGGGGTGGGAGCACAAAACAAGTACGGACCCAGAATGCCAGTGGGGAAAGCGGCCAGGAGCCAGGAAGGCAGGCAGGAAAGAAGCCGGCATTCTGAGCCCCTCCTAGGTGCCTGGCCTTCGCATAGTGAGCGTTCAGAGGCAGGAGTAGGGGTCTCGCCCGGCACAGGGTAGCTTTGTCGGAGCAGGTGGCCTTGGTAGAGTGAGCCTTCAGCCCACAGGCCAGGCTCCTCTGCTGACCAGCAGGAGGGTTTGGAACCAGCTGCCACTGGACTGAACTGACCTTGAGAATGAAGCCTAGCCAAGAATAGCAAAGCAGAAAGTCAGAAGACCCTGCAACACTGATGACAACCGGGGAGCTACCAGACTGCCCCACACCATCTCTTACAGGACATACAAATAACATCTTATTAAGTCACTATTTTTTAGGTCCGCTACTTGCAGCCAAATAAAGTTCTTATCTACACAAGTGACAAGTCTGGGGAAAGAGTTCTGTTCTTCTTCTAAGCCCGAACACTATTTGATGAGATCAGAACTGATATATTTAGAACAAAGACCACATCAGTGCAGTGTATTTGTCCTCCAAATCCTTCCAAAGATTCTCTACGTCTCTAAGGAGAGAGAAAAGGGAGGGGTAAAGCAAGAGCGGGATGACCACGATGATGCCAGACAGGGACCTCCCTCAGACTGGGCATCGGGGTAGTGGGCGGGGAAAGAGTGGGGTTCATACAGGGCACCCGTCAGGCTCTGTGACCTGTCAGGCTGTCCCACCTACTCTAAGAGCTGAGGCAGGGGTGGGTGGGAGACGCAGGAAAGGACTGATTCCATAAAACTAGAACCACTCACGGGAGGAGACACCTAGACACTCAGTTCTCTTTCTCCCAGGTCTTAATCTCCTCATTTGTCAAAATTAAAGTAACCAAAATTCACAAACAGAGGATTCTGTATTGGTTGGGAGCACAGACTCTAGAAACAGTCCACCTGGGCTCACGTCCCATCTGGTCTTCCTAGGTCTTTGACCCTAGACAACTTATTTCCTTTCCGTGTACCTCCATCTTTGTGCGTGTGTGCATGTATGTGT